GTAAGGAAATCAAATACAAAAAGAAATGTACCAGGAACTCCTATCCTCTTGTTGCTGCAGGCCGATGTGTGTGTCGCTGGTTGCTATGGTGACCAAGTGGCGGAGCGGGTGGCGGATCTTCTAGGTCCTATTGGTAAAGTCCTGGGGGCTGGGCTTGAGGTTATCTCAAGATGCTGATAGGATGGGTCTGGGACCGAGGCGGGTTTGAGAGTGTCAGAGTGTTTGATGAAAAGGAAAGGCAGGGTCGATTAGTGACTGAAAAAACGGAGTGTCAAGGGGGCAGGTATTGCTAGACAATCTGAGCTTTGAGAGGTGAGTGGGTTTGGGGAGTGATCAAAATGAAGACTGTTGAAAGGCATGACACTGTGACTTGAGAATTGGGATTCTGGATTCTGGTTCTGATTTGCCACCACCAGGCCCCGGGGCCTTTAGGAAGTTCCCTTTCAGGCGTCAGGTCCCCCATTTGAAAGTAAGGAAAGTGGACTGTACTCCTTTTCACACGAAGATTACATAAACTTTGCAATGTGTGTAGTGGTTTCCTGTTGTCTGTATCATCTGCTAACCAGCCAGCAAATACTTTTTACATCAAGGAACATGAATTGAGGACATACTCTATGCCAGACACTGGGGAAGTGAAAATAATGCTTGGGGTGTAGGCGGAGGATAAATGAAATTGAAGTTAAAAACATACTGCTATCTTGGCCCCACCTCAAGAGATGCTGATTTACTGGTTTGGAATGAAGGCTGTGCATTTATATATATATTTTTTTATATTATGGGAAGGAGGAAAGAGAGAGAAACATTCATGTGGGAGAGACATATCAATTGGTTCCCTCCTGCACACGCCCTGACCAGGGTCAGGGAGCCAGCCTGCAATCAAGGTACGTGACCAGAATCCAAACCCGGACTCTTCAGTCTGAGGACCAACGCTCTAACCAAACCAGTTAGAGCTAATCTACTCACTTTTATGGAAAACAAAGCATTTGGTTTTCTTCTTCCTATCTCACTCTTTTCCCTTATTCTACCATCAGCCCATACTTACCTTTTCCCATTTTCCCAAAAATCATTCTATCACAATTTGGGCTTAAACAAAGATTCAGTATTTATATTAATCTGAGTATATAAATATTATTCAGAGCTGATCCGTATGATACACTATGGTTATTTTTTATTTAACTTTTGGGGCATGATTCAGTTATATTTTAACTAGAGCCTTATTCTTTGGCTTAGTTTTCTATACACAGTTCTGATGCTACTTTCTTCCTACACTTTCTGAAAGAACTGTAAAACTCCTCTCTTTTTTTAATATATATATTTTATTGATTTTTTACAGAGAGGAAGGGAGAGGGATAGAGAGCTAGATGTGCTCGCAACCAAGGTACATGCCCTTGACTGAAATCGAACCTGGGACCTTTCAGTCCAAAGGCTGACGCTCTATCCACTGAGCCAAACCGGTTTTGGCAAAACTCCTTTCTTATGGTGCAGCTCACCAGATGTTTCTCAGTTCCACTATTTGTTTCTTATAGACATCCTTTCTGGCCTTGCCCTATGTATCTCTTCTATCTGGCTGTTCCTGAATCATATTTTATAACAGACCTGTGTTCTGGTAGGTAAACAGAACAGAACATGGTCCTGGTGTTTTGAGATATCCATCAATGGGAGCGTCAGTACTGTCAATTATCCTAAGGAAGTGCCTCGTCTCTTGGTTTTCATGCTAGAGTCTCCTCTGGGCCTCGCTGATGAGCTTCTTTCTCTGCCCCTTAAAGTCTTCTCTTTTGTGTGTGTTTTTGGTTTAGAAAATAAATCTTATTTATCCATTTGTTGCACAAATATACACTGAGTGTTGATGTTCCAGCCATCATTTGAGGTCATGGAATCCATCAGAGAACAAGTCAGGCGAAGTTCCTGCCTCAGGGATCCTCCATTCTAGAAGGAGAAACATACAGCAGACAAATTAGTGTATGCTATCATCGGGAAGTAGTTTGCGTGCTGAAGAAAAATAAAGCGAGGTAAGCCCTAGCCTGTTTGGCCCAAGGACCAAAGGGTCTTGAGTTCGATTTTGGTCAAGGGCCCTGGCCCATTTGGACGGGAAAATATCCTCAGGTGAGGATTAACAAAACCAAAATACAGTCCCTTAAAAGAGTAAATGGAGATGTGGTGGGAGTGGGACTGTTTCATACAGGATGGAGAGTGCAGACTTAAAAGTTTCTATAAGTCCTCGTCGGTTTGGCTCAGTGGATGGAGCATCAGCCACAGACTGGAGGGTCCCAAGGTTCAATTCCTGCTAAGGACACATGCCTAGGTTGCAGGCTGATCCCCAGTAGGAGGCGTGCAGGAGGCAGCCAATCAATGGTTCTTTCTCATCATGGATGTTTCTATCTCTCTAACCCTTGCCTTTCCTCTCTGAAGTCAATAAAAATTGTCTTTTATAAAAACAAAATTGAAAGTTTGCTTGAGATCTGAAGGAGAAAGGAGCATGAGCTTGAGTCTAGTGCACACCTTTAAGTTTGGAGAGTAGCAACTGAGGGCCCCAGTAAGGTACTTACTTTGTACCAAAGGGGATCCTGCTAAAAACAAGGCAAACAATACCCACAAGACACAAACTACCAGAAGTTAGATCTTTCTTTCAACATTGGGAAAGTAGCCTCGCAAAGACGAGGCCTCGAAAAATTGAGTCAAAACTCACAATTGTTCCTCTCCACGGAAATCTTTAGTAAAAGGCGAAAGATTTATACGATCTGAAGAGAAACCAGAGTATACCACCCATCCTCCGCCCACATGCCTCAGACCACGCTCACCCCCAGCTCAGTTATGGTTGCCGATTGGCCACTAGCCCGCGCTCCGCCGGGCGCTCGGAGAGCCCCTGCCTTTGTAGCAGACAGTGTTCCCGGCGGCGGCTGGAGATTCCCGCGGGTCTGGAGCACCCGCGTGGGACCTGAGTTCGTGGTGCACGATGGGTATGCAAATCGCAGACCGCTCGGGGCTGGGCCGCGACACCAGCTGCTTCCGCGGGGCGGCGCTGTGGGGCCCGGGGCGGCCGCTCCTGCTCTCTTCACTGCGGGTCCACCAGCAAACCCGCGCCCTGTTAGCACGGAGAGAAAGGGCGTTTCCCGCCGGTGAGGGATACCTGGTCCCTTACGGGGCTGGGCTTAAGTAAGTCCCAATCGTTGGGGTTCAGCCCTATCATTCCATACTCGCAGGGACCCCACCGTTCTAGGGACACAAGCGGAGACTGTCCCGCACAGACACTCAGGGCAGCAGGACCACGGAGGAAGGGCATCACCGCCGCCCTCCCTCCCCGGGAGGTGGCAGCCAGTGCATCTGAAGGAGAGTTTGGTCGAGGGGAGGTGGGATGGTGCTTTAGCAGAGGGAACGGCGTTGCCAATCTCGCTCTTTAGGATCTGCATTTGCCTTTCTTGGTTAGCCTGCCTCCCAAACTCGATGAAGTGCCCATCCTTTATGGCAGGAATAGAGATCACCATCCCCGGAAAGTATAAAGGAATTGTTCCTGGTAGGGTTCCGTCCCTCCATCCAAGTAGGCTCTGGGAAAGTTTCTTTTCTGACTAGTACACGTATCTTGCTTATGTAGCTTTCTCAGTCTTTAATGTGCACACTAAAACCCGGAGAGTTTTGGAATAACAGATTATGATCCCGTAGTTCTGGGGTGGGGCGTCTCTCATGAGCTCCCTTGTCATACTGATGTTACCTCTGATCTTTGGATGCCAAGATCTGGGAATGGAAAAAATGTTCTCCTATTCCACCTTAAATTTAATGTTTAATTAAAATAAAACTATCTTGCCGAAACCGGTTTGGCTCAGTAGATAGAGCATTGGCCTACGGACCGGGTTCCACTCCGGTCAAGGGCATGAACCGGGTTCCACTCCGGTCAAGGTCCCGGGTTCCACTCCGGTCAAGGGCATGAACCTTGGTTGCGGGCACATCCCAAGTGGGGGGTGTGCAAGTGGTAGCTGATCCATGATCCCCAGTGGGGGGTGTGCAAGAGGCCGCTGATGGATGATTCTCTCTCATCGATGTTTCTAACTCTCTCTTCCTCTTTGTAAAAGAATCAACAAAATATATTTAAAAAATAATAAAGTAAGACTATCTTAAATTCTAAACACCTCTGCCACCTTATTTCTTTCCAACTTGCATGTAGGATCCTCTAGAATGTGTTAAGGGCAAAGAAGCTCTGCGGAACAATTGCTTCGGTATTTTTAATTTGACCTCACAACTAAAACAATAAACAAACAAACAGTAATTGATATGAGTGCATAAGAATGATTTTGGAAAAGCCATAATTGAACCACGCATACATGTGTACTCAAATAATCCTGAAACAATGTTACTTTCATTTCTTTCTTTTTTAAAAAAAATATATTTTATTGATTTTTGTACAGATAGGAAGGGAGAGAGATAGAGAGTTAGAAACATCGATGAGAGAGAATCATTGATCAGCCGCCTCTTGCACACCCCCTACTGGGGATATGCCCGCAACCAAGGTACATGCCCTTGACCGGAATCAAACCTGGGACCCTTCAGTCCCCAAGCCGACGCTCTGTCCATTGAGCCAAACTGGTTTCGGCTTCTTTCTTTCTTTTTTTAAAAAAAAAATATATTTTATTGATTTTTCACAGAGAGGAAGGAAGAGGGATAGAGAGCTAGAAACGTCGATGAGAGAGAAATATCGACCAGCTGCCTTCTGCACACCCATTACCCGGGATGTGCCTGCAACCAATGTACATGCCCCCGACCAGAATCCAACCTGGGACCCTCAGTCCGCAGACCGATGCTCTATCCACTGAGCCAAACCGGTTTTGGCGTTACTTTCATTTCTTCCCATGTGTTATTGTGTGTATTTTTCAAAAGTTGCGACTACTTATATGAGACTTTTATATTTAAAAATGTCTATTATAAGCATTAGCTAATTAATTAAGTGGTTGACTAGGTTTTTAAATGAGGGTTGTTCAATGTCTTAGCTTTTATTAATTGCATGGTCCCCT